CGAGTGTTTCTGGCAGGCCACATTGTTGACCGCGGCAGCGGGGCGCCCGGGGCGCGAGAATCGGATCGACTTCTTCCTCATGCACACGCTGACCAGCGCCGTCGCGCTGCCGAGGGTATTGGCCGCGCTCCCGAACAAGCTGCACAAGGCACAGCTACTCCAGGGCCACGCACTCGCATCTGCGCTGTGGGCCATCGCGCGCGGCCGCCCCCGTGTCAATCCCGCGCTGCTGATGTCGTATCCCGACGTCGTCCCGGGCCACCCGGGCGGCGCGGCTAATCCGTGGCTGCCGGTCACGCTCAATGCTCTCGAGCACGCGGACTCGCATGTTATCAAGACCGTGCGGACGCTGTACTACGCTGCGCAGCGGCTCGGCCAGACGGGTGCGGGTGCGGTGCCTGGTGCGCTGGATAGTGCTGGGAAGGAGACGCATGAGGGGGTGAGCGGGCTTGATGGGTCGGCCTTTGTGCGGGCTGCTATCATGACGAGCGAGACTCTGGGCTGGGTCGCGTTTGGGGGTAAGCCGGGGGAGTGGGATCGTAGCTCTCTAGGATGGGATGCCGCGTGGGCGTGATTGAAGCAATCTCTGTATAGGCTGAAATGCCATAAGATGTATCTGAGTGAATTGAATGTACTCATACCCCACTCATCAGTGCAGGGGAGGTATGTAAGTGGCACTGAAAGAGTCATCAAGCTTTTTGCTCAGCGCCATGACATATCGATGCTCCACTACGCATTCATCTACAAAGCTGTTAGATGACCTGTCTCACCAGAATCCCCGACCATGTTCTTCTGACTGGACGTGATCCTAGATGGCATGCCCCAGGTGTGGAGACGATGAGCATCCGGAATGGACTGTAGAATGACGCGATTCACTCGAGATCCAGTCCTGGCAACGCACTGGATCAGACTGGGCCTACTACAAATCACAAAGAAGCACTCTTGCTGGATTCTGATAATCGTACGCATCGGATCGCGTCTGTCTATTCTAGTGGTTGGATTGAAGGATCTGTTTTCTATTTTGATCTTTCATAGGCTTGTTGTGTGGGAAGATCTGCACGTGCCTATGAGGTAACGTGTCAATTCGCGATCACATGCTCTAATATATGGCACCTCGTGACTGTTGAAATTGACCGCGCTTCCAAGTTCCCAGAATCTCGAGAGTCCGGTCCTTCGTTACTGTATCCTTCGTCGAAATCCGTCGGAGTTTCCTGCTTCGGCTGCATCCGGTATGCATCGGTACATGGTTGAAGACACGAGAGTGGAGTCGGTGGGTACTAGATCATGCCCATCAGAATGGTTTACTGAACACATCGGGGCATACTTGGAGTTGTGGCTGCGAAGCTCGCGCCCTGACGAGGGCTTCAGCATTTTCAAGATTTCACGCCAATGACAGCAGCTCTGAGTCACAGCACTCTATGATTGCGCAACACAGCGGACTTTGATATTATCAGGGAGCACGGCAATATCTGTACATAGAATCAAACTTCAGCAGGCGTTTTGGGATGGGAATGACACGCAACTTGGAACAGCAAGCTTCGCGCACGCGTGCAATCCGGCAGAATCCGGCTCTGTGACCTTGGTCCCCGATCAAAGACTCCGAATCACGGAGTTAGTGCCCTTGCATGAGAATCTTCCGCGAGAGCATGATTGGACTAGGTGAGTGCCGATCAAATTCGCGAGATAATGCCCTTAAAACGCAATTCAATCCTGGCCCGGTATGGAAACGGAGGATAGGGATCTACGAGGACATAGGCAAGTAGAACAGCCAAGATATTGAGGATCCGGTGATCCAAAAGACCTTGCCGCGATTTGAACGCGGGACTTCAGGATAGATTCCATTCTTGGGTTTCATTCGTTGCAATCCTACACTCTAACCACTGAGTTACAAGGTCGTGTGACGCCGGTTTGAGGAGTGATTCCTGAACTGGACTGGAGCTAGCGGGTGCGTCTGATCGCCCATCCGTAGCAGGGATCTGGGATGACCACGCTGCGGAGTTGACTGACCATTGTGGATCGGAGGTTTGGGATTTTCACAGAAGTTGCACCGGTATACTCGGCCCGCGGTGATGGGTCTACATCCCTGCTCTGCCATCCGGCATTCCGGAAGGTCCTTGCTTGGTTGAGAACTGAATGTGATTTATGACATGCCGTAATTCAACAATGCGGCAGAGGTAAAGTAAATTTAAAGTTAATTGTGCGTGTGTACACCGGAGGTACCCGCGTCCTCGAACTGTGTCCCCACGAAATGTCACGGATTTCAGCGCGAGTATTGCTGTTCTTGGAGCACGATGCCGCTCAGAAGACTCGGCGGCGGCCACTCGGAGGTCACCAGAGCATTCACCCCGATTTGCAGTGACCTCATGATATTTACGCTAGGATGCATCTCGAAGTCGCCCCGACGGAGCAGAGTTGTTGCGCCATGATTTGTTCTCACCGGGCCAGTGGTGATGCATATGGTGATGTCATTTCCGAAGTTCTAATCGCTACTTATGTAGCCAGAGCCTGGGCATCCTCCGCCCAGTTCCCCAAGTCATGAAGTCCGTCGGGTGCCCTAGCATTGCTGGTAAGTGGATGTCAGGGGCAATGAAGAATCGGACGAATGACGCTAACATGCACGTGCTCAGTTACTGCCTCGGAGAAATCCGAAGATGATGTCGATCGCGTTGTGCGGCTGCATTCGTCAGCGACATCGTCCCCAGTTCATGCTCTCAAATTCGCTTCTCTGAACGACCCTCCGCCTGATGACTCTGCTCTTCGCTCCCCGTCCACCGCCCATTGGCTTCACGTCCCCTCGAGTCCTCTGTACGCTTTAGATGAGCCATGGCCCTATAGCCCACGATTCTTTCCATATCAAGCGATGCACCAGGGCTGTGAGCGCCCTATTGCATTCCCTCATCTATCGCGTCCATTTGCTCTCGCACCCGATGTGTTCTCACCGAGCTCGCCGACCACCTCGGATAGCGGCGAAAGCGGCAGTGGCAGCAGCAGCGACCACCATGTGCCTGACGCGCCCCGCCCCGCGCGGCGGTCCCTGCGCACGAGATGGGCCATGTGGGTTGGAAATCTCCCGCTCGATGTGACGCACAAGGAGCTGCGCACGTTTTTCACGATGGGTCCCTCGAAGAAGTCCGCCCACGGCCGCGACTCCGACCATCGCCGCCTCGCCGACGACCTCAACGGCGTCGTCTCCCTGTTCCCCATCACGCGCTCGGGCTGTGCGTTCGTCAACTATGCGACGCCCACTGCACTCGAGCAGGCGCTGGCGCGGTTCAATGGCGCGCACTTCCGCAACGATCTGACCAAGCCTCTCGTGTGTCGCACGCCGGAGGAAGAGGGCAACGGTCTACATCCTACCACTCTTTCGGTCGCCAGCTCAGCCACGTCCAGTCATCGAGCACTTGCGGACCACTTTCCGAAGCGGTTTTTCGTCATGAAGTCCCTCACACAGGTATGTTTTGCGAGCACATGTGTTTCTACGCTGAGCCGTCCCCCAGGGAGACCTCATCTTAAGCGTCAAAACGGGTTTGTGGGCCACCCAGAGGCACAACGAGTTCTTCCTCGACCAGGCCTTCAAAACGGCAAAGGAGGTGTACCTCATCTTCAGCGCCAACAAAAGCGGCGTGTTCTTCGGCTATGCACGGTGCGCCGGCTAGCTCGCGATCCAGAATCTCACCGACACTCAACATGATCTGCTCTTTTTCTTTCCTTAGAATGATCAGTGTACCGCGATCCGACCCCTCGCACGTCGAGAGCCCAGCGAATGACTGCCGGGACCAGGTCGGGATGAGCCCGCGGTCGAGCTCGATGGCCCCGGGAGTGTGGAGCAAATCCACCAGCGACGGCGCTTCACACTGGGGGAAAGAGTTTGGCGTGCAGTGGGTGTGCACCCGGGCCCTTCCCTTTGCATATACGGAGCAAGTGCTGAATCCGTGGAACCGAAATCGAAGGGTGCAGGTATCGCGAGACGGCACTGAGCTCCATCCCGCGGTCGGCCAGGAGCTGCTTAGGATCTGGGACGAGCTTGCCGTGGAGCAGTAGATCCCGCCAGCCTTCCTTTCATCTCTGCGCCGGGATCCGCATGCGCAGCCTCGTCGTTCGCTCTCGCTTGTCGTGTTGTACTACATGTGGCTGTCTGTCCTCGTAATATCTGGGCTGGGCTGTGGATGGCTTTGCAATTGATAGATACCCTCCTACAAATCGCATGGTGCGATATCGATGCCGTCTAGGCTCCGGAACCACTCCAGTGTCGCGTTTCTCCACACATCAGACATCAGATCACGACCGAAGCGTTCGTCAGTACAGTGCGTACACTTGCAAGTTAGTAACAAGTCACAACCGCAGAAATCTCACGACACAATGTACTGGCCATACTTTCGGTCCTAGTTGGTGCACATCCGCGGATGATGCGTTGATTGAAGCTGCTCGTGTCAGTGCGCATGTCCATGATATGCTTGGGCCACTGTCCTGCTTGTCCAGTCACCTCGTACGCTCGAAGGTTTCGGCAACACGCAAAATCATTAGCGCGATGGCGAACTGAGAACGATATATGGAGACTATAGCACCTCGCCAAAGGCCGACTGTCGTGACCTTGTAACTCAGTGGTTAGAGTGTAGGATTGCAATATTGTTATCCAATGATCCTGAAGTCCCGTGTTCAAATCACGGCAAGGTCTCTTTTTCAAATCCGACCTTCTCCCATGTCTTCCTTCTTTCACACCAATTTTGAGCTTGATTTCCTTGGACTGTGGTGATCGTCGCGCTGTGATCCTCCGCATCGCGTTCGAACTTCGCGGACAGCCAAATACTCCGTTCCCGCCTTTTCTCACGCCGCGAGAAATACCCGCCCATCAACTTGTCACATTTCGCCTTTCTCCTGTTGCCGCTGCTCGAGTCAGCCAGTGGTTTCGTTATTTTCTGCAATGAACATGACTGCCGGATTTCCGAGACCCATCGACATCCTAGGCGCTCAGCTGCGCTTCAACAGGGATCAGTTTTAGAAACTGCCACATATCTAGAGTTAGACCTCCGATCCGGGACGCGGGAACCCACCTTTTGGATCCTTACCAGCTTGCTATTTGAGTTGTTTCAGCTTCATGCTTCGCAAGTCTCTCTTCCTCCCTCCTTTACGACTGACTTCTTTCCGCTTCCCTGGCACCGGCTGCTCCTCTTGGATTTTCTCACTGCTAGTTGCTCGGGGTTGCACACTCTCACCTCTTTCTCTCCTTCTCCGTCTGCTGTCTGGACCCGTTCGAATTTTCAACAAGTCTTGGGAATCCCGCAATGTCACGCATCCACTTCGACCGGGCTTATCAATTGTGAGCTGGTTTCTTCTCGAGTTATTATCCACGGCAGAAGTTCCAAATCCTTGTTCTTTTTCTAGGTCCGGCGATGACTCATCTTCAATAATTTTGGCAACGGCGACCAGCACGGCGGGCGGGTCCTCGAATCCGACCTCAATGTCCTCCAGGGTTTCTTCTCTCGGACCCCCATCGACCGCCCCTTCGATTTTCACCACAGCAGCCTTCGACACTCACCCATCGAGCACACTCGACGTGACCCCCAGCCCCGTCGCCACGGTCACGGTGACACAGAGCCATATCGGAACTTTTCTCGCAGTCGGGATTTCCCTCGTCGTTCTCCTAATAGCTCTGTTGTGCTTCGTATACTGCTGCGGGCGGCGTTCGCGCGCGACGGCAGACGTGGCGGATGACGAAGAAATCGAGCTCGGGAGCGTCCCGAAGAGACGCGCTGGGCGTGCCGGAGCTATGCCCTCCGGTCGCTGAAGGGACGACGTGATCTGGAGGCTGTTCTTACTATTGCGCTGCGTTCGGTAGCTGATTGGGTGGGAATTGATCATGATAAGTGCGGGCAATATTTCCCTTGAAGCGCTTTTGGAAAGCCTGGATTTTCGCATCTATCAGCAGGTGCTGCGATCCAACGCGATCTGCCTGGACATAAGGCCTAGACTGACTGTGAGACTTTGCACTGCCGTTTGGCTTATCATGGCCATTGTCCTATGTGAGTCTTACGCCTTTTCCAAATCCTCCAGAAATTCAAGAAATCATCCACTTGCAAATCCGCAAGGGCGCAGCCGCCCAAAAAAAAATGGGCTGGAGGATGAGCTTTCCAAAATGATGCGATGAAGGAAAGCGCTACATCGGTTTGTGCATAACTAATTTGAACGTAGCAATTCAAAAAAAAAATCTTTGTCAAGTGCCACTGAAAGGTGAAAAACTCAGCCGGGTTTCCTCATCTCAAACGGAGCCCCCCGATCTCCGAGGGCAGGCGATGTCACCACTACGTGCGACGACATACGTTCAGCGTACGAAGGCGGTGGATCCAACATTGAGCCACTATCAACATCCGCTGTGGATGCCAGTGCAGATGGGAGGTGCGTGCCGCCGGCCGAGGCTGAGCCCGAGCCCAGGCGATTCGGCAACAGCAGGGACTGGAGAGACCCGGCGCTGTGCAATTGGACAGTGGTGTACGGAACAGGTGTGCGTTCCTGATCCTCCGTGGATGTCCTGCGAGTGCGGTGGCGACGGTATCGCATACAAAGAAAGATGGCCGCAAGTGCGACGACGGAGATGCAGACGGCGATAACGACGCCGATCATGCTGGTATTTTTCCGGCGAATGCCGGTGGCGGGCGGAGACACTTCGGGTGAAGTACCCGTGGATGCGGTGGGAAGAAGAGTGCTCGAAACAGTGGCGGATGATGCAGAGGACGACGCGGAAGATGATGGCGTTGATTGAGACTCATGCGACAACATGTTGACGCTGCTAGGTGATTGGGGAATGGCAGATGCTACTGAAGTCGAGCTCTGGAGTACGGTGTCCGTGCTCCCTGTGCTGGACAATGTGTCGATCACTGCGGTGCTCACGGCCGTCGCAGTGCTTGTCGTAACTTGAGTCGAAACTACGACCGCCGTGGCGCGAGACGCGGACAAAATCGACGAGGTCGCCGGTAGGTCATCGAACCTGAGGTAAAAGCAAATCGAGCGCATTGAAACACACCCAACCACACGAAATTGAACCACTCACGTGTACTGCGCCCAGTCGAAAAACATCCTGGATCCCGTATTCGCATTATTCGTCGTCAACGTCACCGTATGGTCCGCCTGTGGGAGCCCAGACACGCTGAACACCGTCACGTTGTAAACATAAACAGCCTTCCCGGTTTGCGGATACAGATACGTCCCGTGGGGCTGGCCATCGAGCGTAAATGCGAGGTCCATGGGCGTAACAATGTCCGTGCGTGGCCCGAGGTCAATCGCAGCACACATCACCGATATTCCCGTCCCTGCAGTAAATGAGAGGGGTTGCGTCAGGCTACGATGTACGGCCGACGGGAACCTGAGTCTCAGCGCACCGGTGAAAGAGAGTGAAAGGGAAACGGGTGTTCCCTGGACGGCCTGAAGCCCATCGTGCCATGTCTGCGCAAACAGGTTATCCACCACGAGCGAGTCCGTGCATGTCAGGCAGTTCGTGTTCTGGAAGCTCGTATTCAGCCTCGTGTGATCGGCGGCAGCAAACAGAGATGCAACTCAACTAGCCACCACTTATCGGCCGGGATGTATACCGGCTTGACCCCCGTACGCGAGTCGCCCAGCTCGTCGTCTATGGTCGCGGTCCCCGAAAGCGCACAGAGAGTGTAAAATGAGAGTGTGAAGAGCCAGGACAGCAGCGAGGCCATTGAAGGAGCGACCCAACGGTAAAGCGCGGAGAAAGACAGTCGCGAGACGATAAGAGGCGCAGGGGGAGCGAAGGCGCATTCTGATCAGCTGAGGTTTGTTGATCAGGATCCGACAGTTGGCTTCCCGTTTCACAAGCATCCAGATCAGTCATGAGATTCTGATTGGTCTCCAGAATCCCCCTTTGACTTCTTTAATGCACTGAATCGGTTCATCAACGACCGCGGTCGCGGGCCAAGAGACAGTACTTTGCTACAAGACTCCACTCTCCATTTGTGTGCGTGCAGAGGGTCACAGGAAGTCGAGATTTGGGATCGCTGGTCGAATGAAGGTCCTGAAAAAGCACTCGAGCCGATATGCAACAGCTTGAGGCACATACAAACAACAACTTGGCGGGACGCAAGAACACAACGGAGAGCTGTGTCCTATTTACCCAATGATGTTCCCCGACACGTAACTCGGCTGATTGACAACACGTTCCCGGCCGTCAATATTCACCCAACGACAATCTGTAGAGACAAACCCATAGCATGATATCGCGTGCCTCGAGGTGTTTCATCCCGTATTTTGGTCCAAACGAGCTCAGTTTCTCAAATGGGTTCAAGATCAGCGCAGCAAGGAAAAAAACGGCTGATCACAGTCTTTCCAACGCAGTTGATCCGAGTCTGATGGCACCGATCGATCACTCGATCACTCCGCCGCCAATAATACTTAACTCAGCTGAGGTATTGTGGATATTTGGGTTGGAATCAATAGCACAGGCAATGGATTACCTTGCAGCACTTTGGGAAAGCATGGTATCAAGCCGCTCTTGTTGCACAGATCAGAAGTGTTGGTTTAATACTGTGATCTCTTAGAGATTGCCATTTACCACATCAGCAACTGTGTTCTGAGTATATCATGCCCTCTCTCCTATGCCACAGATATTCAACAATTTAGCAGATTATTGACTTACACGCCTGCAAGGCTGTAGTGTCCGAAAAAATTGGTGAAGGGCCGGCATTTCCAAATCAATACAACCAGATAAAGCGCTACATCAGATTAGGGATAATTAAGGCAGCAATTCGAAGCAATGGGTACACCAAGTGCCAGTGGGGGCGCTAGAATCAGCCAGTTTTCCTCATCTCAAACGGAGCCTCCTCAATCCGGGAGGGCAGGCGATACTACTACAACTCCCTGCAACGCACGCGCTCAGCATACAAAGGCGGCGGATCTGACATCGAGCCGCCCTCGATCTCCAACCTCGGCCCCAGAGCAGGCGGGAGATGTGTACCGCCGGCCGCCGACGCCTTGCTCGAGCCGAGACAATTTGGTGGCGACAGCAGAGGCTGGAGCGACCCGAGGCCGTGTACCGGGGCGGCGGCGTACGGCACGGGCGTGCGTTCGTGGCCCCTCGTGGATGTGCTGTGAGCGCGCCGGCGACAGTATCGCATGCAGAAAATCATGGCCGTAAGTGCGACGACAGAGATGGAGACTGCGAGAACGACACCGGTTATGGTGTTGTTTTTCCGGCGAGTGACGGTAGGGGGCGGAGAAAAGCTCGTGGATTCAGTGGACAGAACGCTCGAAATAGTGGCGGATGGTGTGGAAGATTACGGCGTTGATTGAGATCCGTGCGACGTGATGCTGATGCTGCTAGGTGATTGCGGCATGGCAGATGATACTAAAGTCGAGCTCTGGAGTACGGTGTCCGTGCTCCCTGTGCTGGACGATGTGTTGATCACTGCGGTGCTCACAGCTGTCGCAGTGCTTGTCGTAACTTGAGTCGAAACTACGACCGCCGTGGTGCGAGACGCGGACAAAATCAACGAGGTCGCCGGTAGGTCATCAAACCTGAGGTAAAAACAAATCGGGCGCATTGAAATAGGAAATTGAACCACTCACGTGTACTGCGCCCAGTCGAAAAACATCCTGGATCCCGTATTCGCATTATTCGTCGTCAACGTCACCGTATGGTCCGCCTGTGGGAGCCCAGACACGCTGAACACCGTCACATTGTACACGTACAGAGCCTTTCCGGTTGGCGCGTCAGGCTACGAGGCACGACCGACGGGAATCTGAGTCTCAGTGCACTGATGAAAGAAAGCGAAAGAAACACAGGCCCTCCCCTGATTTTCTGCTGCCCGTCGTGCCAGGTCCGGGCAAACATTTCGTCCGCCACGAGCAAGTCCGTGCATGTGTGATAGTTCGTGTTCTGGGAGCTCGGTTTCAGCCTCGTCTGATCGACCGTGACAAGTAAACATGCAGCTCAACTAGCCACCACTTATCGGCCGGAGTGTAAACCGGCTTGGCCCCCGTGTGTGAGTCGCCCAGCTCGTCGTCGATGGTCGCGGTTTCCGAAAGCGCACAGAGAGTGTAAAATGAGAGTTTGAAGAGCGAGGCCAGTAGCCAGATCATTGAACGGAGCGACGGAGTGGTAAAGAGCGATTGTGGACACTTGCGAGACGATAAGAGGCGCAGGGGAAAGGAAGGCCCATTCCGATCAGCTAAGTCTTGCTGATCTGGATCCCACAAATAGCTTCCCGTTTCACAGGCGCCCAGATGAGTCACTAAGATCTGATTGTTCCCCGGAATCTGCTCTAATGGACTTTTTGAATGCGGTGAATCGATTCATCGACGACCATGGTCGTAGGCCACGAGTTAGAAGCTACAATTGCTCAAACATCTAATTTACTGTACATGTAGTATATACGGGCCCGTGATTCATGCCGTCTGACGAAACCTGTGAGCCCATCCGTTTCCAGATGCGATGGCAACTCACCTTGCGCTCCACACCGCGCGCCTCGAGATCCGGGTTACGAGTGACTTTCCCAGCGACCTTCTCGACTGATCCTACCGCAAGATTAGCTTGCGCGTTGATGACACAAACGGGACGGACAGACCAATGATCTTGTCCCCAACCCCAACATGACGGCCTTCCGTCCTTTCGGCAGCTGTCGTCCCAGTACCCGCCTCATGGTGGCGGTGCGTCGCAGATGCATCCGAATGCGCGCCCGGCTCCTGCTGATGCTGCTGCTCGGTGCCAGACGAGAACTCGCCCCGCGACGCAGTGCGGTACACCGTCTCCCCCGCCGGCTCGCGGTCCTCGCCGCTCATCGCCTGGAACGTCGAAATGCCCGACGCCTCGCCGCGTTGCATCGATTCGCCCACGGTCGGGTGCGTGACGGAGTCCCGTGCGCCAGTATCGCTATCAGCTGCGGTGGTCGAGGAGTACGGCTGTGGCGTGTTCTGGGTGTTGCCGTACGAGATGTCACCGGTGCTGGTCCCTGTCGTGCCGTGCGTGCTTGTGGTGCTAGAGGGTTGCTGCATGTTCGTAATGTTTGGTGTTTTCAGTGGGGAGACCCTCGTCGTGCATTTATAGAGCCGCATAATCCCAACTGTGAGGTCACATACTCCGAGCAAGTTTCCAAGCTCAGAGGCTCAAGCGCTCATTGGTGACGAGAGGTTCAATGAAGTAATGGATGAATGGGGTCGCTGATGTGAAGGCTGTCTCCGTCTGGGAGCTCTGAGAATTCCGAACTGAAATCCCAACGGCGGAGTCTCCACAGGCCAACAAAAAAGGAGCCACAAATTTGTCGCTCCAAAGCATAGCGTCATGCGTCGCGAATTCACAGAAGAAAGGAAAGACATCTCAGGATTGACGGCGCTTATGTCATCATCACTCATGACTGAGTGAAATCATCGGGATTCGCAAGGTTATTTCTACGGAACGGATAACAGAGATAGGAAATAAACTACAGCGACGACCGACGACGCACAAGCCTCCTCAGCTTCCTCGTAAAGGACGCAATGCTCAGCGAGCGTCGAGGCGTGGTCGCACTGCTATCCACCGGAGGCGGAGTCGTCCGGCGCTTGCTCTTCTTCGGCCTGTGCAGTGGGTTCTGCAGAGCCAGAGCAACTATATCTACGGGCGGAGGCACGACGAACGTTTCCATCGCCTCGACCTCCGTGCGCAGTTCTGGAATGCTCGGCCGGCGCGCCGGATTGGGATCGAAGATCCGGTTCGCGAGCGAGCTGAATGAAGGGCTCAGGTCGAGCGTCCCCCGCAAGAAGTGCGCGGGGTCCGCGCGGTACGCGCAGTACGTGTCGTCGGACTCGACGGGTGCCTTCCAAAGAAGGCTGCTCGTCATGAGGGCGATCAGGATCACACCCAGCGACCAGCAGTCCGTTCCGCGAGGGGAGTATGTGTCTCGGGTCTTGTCCATGTCTTCTGCGACACAGGTGAGTCAGGGGCTTCGAATGAGTGGGAAGTCTCAAACACACCAGGACTCGCAAACACAGCAGTCCCAACGCCGAACTGTTTCGACTCCTCAGACCGAGTCGCAACACCAAAGTCGGCGATTCGGATATTCTTGCCGTCGGCGTCACACAGGATGTTCCCGGGCTTCAGGTCCCGGTGGAACACACCCTCGGCGTGGCATGTCTCGACGGCATCAAGCACGTCCAAGAACACCCGCTTCGCAACGTCGCACTACTCATCGCAGTCCTTGTGCTCGATGACGAAGCGGTTCAGGTCAGTGTCGCAGAGCTCCATCACGACAAAGACGTGCTCGCCCTCGACAAAGGCGCGGTGCAAGGCCACGACGCCAGGCAGGCCAGAGACCCGTGTGTGGTTCTTGAGCTCGTTCTGGAGGTTGTGGTGCTCCTGCGATCCGGGCTCGCCGTTCAAGAGGCACTTGACGGCGTAGTGGATGGGTGCCCCGGATGATGCAGTCGATTGGGTGTCCAGAGCCTTGTAGACCTTGGCAAATGAGCCGTGGCCGAGAAGCTCGACGAGCTTGAGCTTGCCGTTCTCGACGGTGGACCCTGTCAAGTCAGGGAGTCGGGTGTATGGGAGCGGGGCGGGGTGGGATGAGTGGGTGGATGTCATGATGGATGAGTGTCGAATGAGGTGCGTTTGTATAGGGCAGGCAATAGAGCTCGTTGCATAAGATATGAAGTTGTGTTGTGGTGGTTGGAAGCAAGATGCCAGGAGGTGCTGGTCTCACCGCCCTTCCCGCCTTATATCCCGCCCATATGTCTCACTGCGCCGATCGAACCACGTCATTGCCGACCTGAAACCATCTAGGGAGGAGTATCTCTGGATAAAATGATTCATCAGACTCGACTCGTTGAAAGGGTCTTGAGTAGAAGCCTGCAGACTTCAATTGACTCGCGCGAAATCATACCCTGCGATGCGTCCTGTGTAGATCTTTCCCCCCGATGTGAGATAGGATTTCGTTGCGCCTCGGTGATTGCGTGTTCGGACGGGCGAGCAGACGGTCACAAAAGCGAAGATTCACGGTCAGGGCCAACCGGCGATAAACAAGCGACGCCGTCTTCATTGACAGTGCAAAGGCATGCCAAGATCTAGACTCAGTGTCATCTCTCGTAACACGATCACGTGAAACTTTTGCTCGCGTACCTAGAAAGGACACGTTCTGAATCTAACGTCTTTTCGCGCTCCTACTCTATAGAGTATAGAAATCTGCTACGAGGTAGCTGAATGATGTTGTGGCAAGCGCGGAGATGTGCTACCGCCATCTTGATGCGGTAGCGACTGCGCAGACGCACTGGCCAGCTCCCAGAGCGGGATGGGAATGGACTGCGGGGCCGCCAGCGAGCTCTCGAGGTCAGGCGTCTCAGGCGGCAGATCTTTCACGTTCGGGGTGCTCTGGAGGTACGTGAGCATAGAGCGAGGTGCGCGAATGAGAGCCACCGCTGGCGCACATAAGAATAGCGTGCGAAGGTGGGAGTCGCGACTCCGACCGAGTGGCGGTGGCCGTTCATCACGCTCTCCAGTTCTACGGTCACGTTCGCCGAGGCTGACCGGGGACCGGACAGGAAGTTGATCAGGAGCGTCAGCGCGTAGATACGGCCTTGACAGAAAAAGAAGAAGTTGAAGACTGCACATGGGCTGCTGTCAGCCCTCCCGGCAGACGGCTGAAATCGAGGACGACGGACCGATATGACCCTTCAAGAAAAGAATCATCATCAACAGCGTCGTAGAGGCCACGACCGCCCCGGAGACGAGACTCAGCATGAGGACCTTGCGGGCCAAGCTGGGATCGAGAGTAAGCAGTTGTCATAAGAGGAGGAGCAGAGCCCACTTCAACAACTGTGAGCTCTGCCGCGATCCACTGCTCAGGCTGACGATCCTGATCTTATTAAGCTCGTATCCCAGTAATCCAGCAATGAGGATGTCCGTCACACTGCACAGTATAGCGCCAATTCTGGAGAACACCGTAAGAGCCGTGCCCGGGCCAATCCAAAGACGGGAACTCGCGAGGTGATTTTATAGGTAATATCACGGAAGCCAGTCACTGTCGGCTGGAGCATGATGGCAGACGCGAACGAAAAGCCAAACTTTGCGCTCGTAAGAAAGGAGGCGTCGCGGCTGGGAGGGAGCTCACATGGAGAAGACCAGAAAGCACAACAATCAACGATAAGATTTTGTTGCGGGACCTGCATGGAGATCGTATGAATGAATGGTGGTAGCTGAGCGGGGCGGAGACCGCGCACAGAACAAAGTAAAGGTTGCAGAGGAACGACTGCTCGACAGCCGCCGTTGCATACGTCGCAGAAATGATGATGGTGGTCGGCACCGTCACCGCACGGAAGTTCGCTTTCCCGAAGAACGTGAGGAATGTCATCAGCACGCTCGCATCGATGGCCATGGTGCATATGAGATCGAAGAAGACCATCAAGGCTATACCCAGCCGGTGCATCAGCGGCCGGCGTTGGCGCGCCAGGTAGCGAAAGGCCAGCACGGCCTCAAACGCGAAGAGCATGGCGTTGACCCATGACCCTGCGAGTTCCACTCTGGGCCATGTTCAGAACACAGCACGGTCGTTGATGGGAGCACTGCTGGAGACGCACGTATATAAGTTTGTCAGTGGTCCATCGAATGCGGTCGCAGACATGGGCACTCGGCTCCAGCCAAAGTCACGGAGCAAACTTGCTGTCGAGCAGAAAGAGCGCGCTGGGGGAGAAAGAGAACACTGCCGAGTAGCAACTCACGTCATGCAGAAGCTAGCTCTTATAACTTTACATAAAAACATCACATCACATACATTATCCGAGTAATGATCGTGATCAACGGGTGTTCTGTCTGAGTGGTGGCTGCTTCTCTTGTTCTTTCCATCAGCATCAGGTCTCACAATACAATTCCTTTATTGAGACATGCAGCGATGGCCTATCAATTTCATGAGTATAGCTATCGCGCTGCACACAAGGCGTTGTGGAAGCAATCCGATCTGCCGCGGACGGCTCTTGGAATAAAGGCGAAATTCCACGTCTTCTGCCGCATCTGATGATCATAAATAAGGTTGCACAGATCTGAGATGTCAGAGGGTATATATTTGGACAACGGGGGTGAAATTGGTCGCTGGCCTTGACTGGTCAGACTGGACTTTGTCACATTTACTTACTTATCGACACTAGTCTGATCTGGTGGCGTCGCGGTCGTGTTACAGTTCTGCACGGCTGGGTTTCACAGCATCTGGGGTAATGCTGCTGTTCGGTTTCACCTGCAAAGGCCTCTGACAGTCGACTGTGCTCCCAGATTTGTTTGGAACAAGATATTTTACAGATCTACACATTCACAAAATACGCTCTACTTCTGACACCCACATTCCGGGTCCAACTTGGACATCGGATCAGCTGCAGCGATCTTGTTAGCAGCGGCGTCAAGCTGCTGCAACGGCAACTTGGCCGAGGGGCGGCCGCCAGTGCGATTGCTGTCGCCCGTGCCGACATCGACCTGCAGGTCCAGGGGCAGAGTGTTGCCGTCGTTGTTGTTGCCGCTGGGAAGTTGAGCGTCAGCCTGCCCGGTCTGCGACCCGCCGTCCTCATTGGCAGCAGCACCGACTTGCCCATTCGATGGCCGAGTGAGCAGTGCATGAGCCTTCTTGCCCGAAGGCGCACTGGGATCAACGGGGAAGTCAGGTTTGCCGTTGTCAGCCACGTCCGCCGAGGCCTGGCCATCGCCACCCTTCTTGACGCCGTCGACCGTCGCCTCTTCGCCCGGCCCTCCCGGCCCGTTGTTGCTCACATCAGCTTTGGCAGTGCCGTCGCCGAGAATGGACGCAAGGCCATCTGCAACTGGATGGTTGGGCACGGAAGAAAACTTCTTCGGGTGATTCTCCTCAACGTTTGCGGCAGCGTTGGCCCCACCTTCCTGCCCCTGACCATCCGCCTGAGCGCCGGAATCCTGGGACTCTGCACCAATCTTCGCGTTAGGGCTTGACGGGCTGATGTTGCTAGGGCCGTGAAGACGGGACGGCGACACAAACTTGCCAAAGCGAGAGGCAGAAGCAATATCGGCAGGATCAGCTGAAGGTTGGTCCGAGGGGACGAGGTTGATGTTGAGGTTATTCTCGTGGGGGACGATCGACTGAGAGCTTGGGTTCGACGGGTTCGACTGTGGGTCAGGTCCCGGAGCAGAGACAGAAGCCTGCTCAGACGCCTGCTCAGATGACGGCTGGTTGGCATTCATAGCGAGAGGCGAGCTGTCTCCAGGGGCAGGGCCGCCAGACGCCTGCGCGCAACAGCTCTCGAGAAAGATGCGGAAGTCAGGTGCTGACGAGGGCAGATCGTTCGGGTTCCCCGCCAGAAGCTTGGCGGCATTCTCGGCGGTGGTCGTGAACTTGATGGCCTTGTTGTAGATGCATTCGACGGCGTTCTGATGAAGAAAGCATGAGCGAGATGAGGGAAAGAGCGAGGATCACGCGCACAGGTCCAGGTCCCTGGTCACGTGTGACATGGTGAATGGGACTAGCGAGCGCGCCCGCGACGAAAAGAAGAGGCATGATGTGTGTGTACATGGCGAGTAAGGATCGTGGAGGTAAAAGAGTGTGCTGAACGAGATGAGAGGGAAAGGAAGAGAGGATTGGTGAGTATATGCGCCTGGGTATGCCAAACTTATATACTACGGGCGAGTTGTTTGTCTTTCACTTGATGTTATTTGTCTTTCACTTTGGAAAGGAGGGACCAGGGGTCAAGCTCAAGCTTCACGTTCCTAAACATGTAGAAGATAGCTGCAAAGCGGAAGCGACGAGGTAAGATGCGAGGGTGCCTACTGGATTGGATTGAGAATGTTGGTCTCGAGGAACTAGAAACAGCGACATCGCTATCATCGCCCCAGCCACAATTCTGGAAATTAGTACCGATGAGGCTCTGAAGCGACATGGAAAGGTCAGAAACAGGGTTGTCCAGCCACTGAGATGTACGCTGTGACAGGAGTTCACACACGCCGCGGCTGATAAGTAGATTGTTCTATGCTAGGATGGTCCATTGTGTCGAGCAGTCAGTCGAGCAGTCCGTCTAAGTACGAATGCAGATGGATGCATGGGTGTGTGAGAGCGAATGGTTGATAGATAAGCATGAGGTAGGACGTGGAGGTATCGCAGGGCAAGGCTCGCAGAGGAAGATTACACGGCAACGGATAAGAGTCCAGCCCAAAGAGACAACCCTAGCACCAATAGAGGAGCGAGCAGCGACGGCAGTGAGGACGGTCGTATAATCGGCCTAACACAGAAAATAAGTATGGGAGCCGCAATAGCATTCACAGCGAGACCCACAGTCCAGCACTCGTTGCGTTCGCAGGCTTGGTCACAACCTTGATGTCTAGAACAGCTACTAGGCCATCTATGGCATTCAGACCGTTGATGGGGACGGAGAGATTGTGGTTGATCCCGTAGCTTGTGTTCGACAACAAGCCCGACACGTATGATATCCCCACGGAGTACACGAATCCAGCATACGACTTGGTGCCCGAGAAGGTTGAAGTGTTGGTAAGAGAAAATGTGTCGATCGGAGAGCCCGTGATGTTACCGATGAGCCAATCCCTACAACTAGCATGAGCAATGGGGATAGAGCATCAGCCCGAAACGTACCGTCCGAAGTTGTAGCCATTAGGTACAATGTCATGGCCTTCGGCAATAGGTTTCTCATACGACGAGGCAAGAAAGTATGCTGAGCTGTTCGCTGACTTTCCGTTCTGTTGCCAATAACGGAAGTGGTCTCCTCCCTGAATAGTCTCCTCACAGGTCCCGAGTGATGGATCTCCATAGTCCCAGCGCAGCTCCGCCGTCTCGTTCACTGCCAAAGCCAGAGCCCGGTGTCAAGAAAAATACGCGCAACAGGGGTAAGAATGACGCACCGAGACCATTGCCGTCACCGAGGTCTGCCATCTGCGAAGCACCAATATGCTGCCCCAAGCATTCTCCACCGAAGCCAACAGCCCTGGAAAGCGATGAGCTTCGAACGGCGCGAAAGCGGAAACACCAAGCCCACATCCAAAAGTTCAGGAAGCCTCCATTCAGCGATGAGTGGACCAGCACTTCGGGACTGGAGGAGCCTGATACGATGATATTGAGCGGTTCGCCTTGTCCTGGAGGGAACGTCCCTGCTACGCTCTACGTGGGATATGGGATAGGTACCATCAACTACTCATCTGCCGCACAAGATAGGGAACGCAGAACGCACAGTAAGCATGGACCCTCCTGCATTCGCGGGTGGATAGTATCCACTTGCAGGGCCGGCTCTTGGCACATTGATCGTTCGGCGTCGTGGCCAGATGCGTTCATACACAACGTCGACGGTCCTGCGGGGGGATGGCATGGACAGTGCTAATGCGGGTAGCGACAAAGAGGGAAGGCATAGGAGGAGGAGGAACAACGGTGCTGCGGATGTCCGGGTCATTATAAGGAGGGTGTTCTAGAGGAGTGAGATGTAGGGTCGGAGGTGCGCGGTCGTTGTGGACTGGGAGATTTCTGCAACCGATCGCTATTGTTTACGTGATGGCTACCGGCGAAAGCCCTTGTTCTGTGTATGTCGCCAACGCGTGGGAGGGCCCTGGTTCGAGGTGGGATGTCGTCAAGGCTTTCTGTGAGCTGGGAAACCGCGGAACGGAAGAATGCGAATGGATGGAGGAGGGAAGGCGTGAAGCTGTCAATCACAACTCGATGATGCGAGGGGGCTAAAAGATCTGCAACGTCTAAAAAAGCGCAGTGGCGGATGAATCTCCGAGCGCGCCCTACTGACAGCTGATGTCCTCATATTTGCAGATAGAACGGGTTTCAAAGTACGTTTCGAACCGATAACCAATTAAAGTACATATGACACACTTCCAGTGCTAGCAGCCATCCAGTAGGCTATTCCTGGGAAACGTGTGCCCTGCTTGAGCCCATGTCGTCAGATTTGCATTCGTGTACGCTTCTGAGTGCCTAAAATAGATCTCAGCATTCAGAAAGAAACAACCCAATGGGTAATTACTGGGCAATGTAGTCAGCCGTGGGGCGATTCGGCGGATCGCAGCTCAGTCCATTCTTCGCACCAGGCGACTGATAGACCCGAACGTAGTCCACGAGCATAGTAGCTGGAAAGACCAGCTGACTGAAGTTCTGTGGCTGGAACGTGGGCGACATGCCCAGGTTGAGGATGATGTACTGCTTGCACGTCAGGATTCTGCTGCTCAAAGCTCAGGGCAAGCTCACCATGGGCTCTTCTGAGATCAAGCGAGCAGAGACATTTGCGATGGAGTCCGGACCGATGCTAGCTGCTGTGATCCCCCACGTCTTCTGCCCATTGCTATACCAATTCATGAATCCCTTCTCTCGGTCCGTAGGATCCGAAAACCACTCGATCCCATAAGTAGCAAACGCCTGCGCGCCATAGAATTCGTCCTCGATGTAACTCAGCGCTGAGACTGTCTGCTGGTACTGCCCGCCGAGATAATGGTTCAGCTTCGTAATGCTTGCGTTCTGGATTGTCGTGACGGTGGTCGAGTTGTCGAACCACCGATGGTCGTTATAAGGTGCGATTTGCGTGCTTTGTGATATCTGCCCACGATAACTGGAGTCGTTGACCTCCGTGAGAGCCTCCAGAATGTCGATCTCAGGCACTCCTCGCCCAACTGAGGTGGAGGGACCAGGGTGATCAGAGCCTGGGCATGTGCAAGCGGACGCCCGTTGCCCCGGCAGGAAGCTCAGCATCTCATCATGAACTGCTGTCGGCAGTCCTGTGGCCGTGGTTTGGTTCGGGAGAGTTCCCCAATCACAGCTGCGTGGGAGATGGTGAATGGGAGAAGTGCTGTTCGACAAGAGATAGGTACCTGTCATAGGTATAAGGCCACATTCCTTCAGTCGTTGCTCCGTATCCAGCGCGACCGAGGTTGCCCATCGTCCACGCGGCTGGCCAGAAGCCGACTTGCGAAGGCGAGCCGGGGAGACTGACCGAGACTTCGATGTAACCTCCATTGACGCAGACTTTGTTCCATGACTGCAGCATCCCTTCGAGTCAATGAGTCGAAGCAGCGGACAAAACTGTGTGCGAACCGCTCTGATAGGACAGGTTGTGATTGTTCAGCTCCGACATTGTGAGGACGAGATTCCCGCCCTTAGTCGTGACAGCCTACATTCGCAGATTAGCTACAAAGTGACAAACAGCTGGCTTCACAAGAACCTCAGGGTCATACCATTCCAGATCATCCGTCGGCCAATAGTGCAGATCAACGGCTGTGAAGCGTCAAGCGCGTAAGGATCAGGCCCGATTCAATCACAAAACACGCACCTTCCCACCAGGGATCATCTCCTGGATAGAACGACCTCCCATCTACATTGAACTCGTCACTGAACACTAGCTGGTACTGCTGCCCATCCGGGCTGGAGAACGTCCGTGCTGACGATGGAGAATCTTCGTCAATCAGCTTGGGGAAATTGGGCATGCTCGGAATTTTGTCGGTCCCATTGCCCAAGCCTGAATCCAGCCCAGGTATCCGTGGTGGACGAGTGTAGAACAGGATCAGAGGATATCCGAGGAACAACGCGACAAGACCGCCTAGAAGAAGACCCAATGCGATGGAATTTGCCCATCCCGGCCAGACGTCCAATCGAAGGATGGACCTTCGTCAGCGACCGTGCTTGGGTTGTGCAGCTCATCATCGAGGTCCATGTTCTTCTCCCAGTGGGTGTTGACCGTCACTGTCTTTGTCCGTACCAGGTTGACTCGTGGAGGAGCTGGTGTGCCATCCATTTTCACGTGCTTCAGAGCAGGATCGAACTGCAAACGGGCGCTGAGATGCGGTGGATTGGGGGAGATGGACAGCGTTGCGCACAGAGTAAGGACCAAAATCAGAGCCAATGGACCACCTTGCTACGTCCTGAAAGATGTCTCCACCTGCGCGCGGCATGCGGTCTGCTTGCAGCTCCTCTGTAGGTGCGCCTGAGAAAACAGAGGCGATCGTTGGAACGACGCGGTCGCCTGCGGTCGTGGCCCGAGAGAAAGCCGAAGGAGGCGATTGCTGGGGAATGACGTCTTGCGCGTCGGCATCGTTCCTCCGTTTCAGCAGTCTGCGGGGCGCCCTGGGACGGGGATGGGACATCAACGGTGCTCTCAAGGTTGATGACGTAAACTTCTTGCATCGTGGCTTCGCGTAGGTTGAGATGGGTATATATATAGACCGCGCCACTCGGGGGATAAGTAGTAGTGTTCATTCAAAAGATACTGTACCAGATACCAACAGCGACTCGGAAGTAAGTAGACGAGAGGTGAGAAATGCAGGTTGCACTGCCACAACCTTCCTGCAGTCTGAGCATGGCACCGCTTGCTCTGAGCCGTCATCACTTGGGCACGTAGCGTGGAACTACGTTTCCCTCGACGAGAAGGTCACTAATCAACACTTATCTCAAAGATGTGGCGGCTGGATGGTGCAACTCGTGGCTCAGTTGGCAGTTTCACAGTCACTAGCTCAATTGACAAACCTGTAAAACGACGTAACGCAACACCAGACTATCTTTCACTGCAAACGAGCTTCTGGGCGCGGCGATCTCCACACCGTCCATTTCCACTCCGCACAATCATGTTCTTATCGATGCTCGAGCAGTTCATTCGTCATGCGTCCGCGTTTGCGCCAAGGATCACATCACCTGCTGGGACTGGGCATCGTGCCGAATTACGAGGTGGGTATTCTACGGCAAAGTGACTGAGACCTAACACGGTGGTGGCCGATGGCTCTACTGTCAAGATGCGATGATTTGCCCTGGCCGCCAATCCTACCAGACTTGATCTCTTTCCTTATCAATTCTGGGCTCAAGCTTGCGAGCTTGCCTTCCTGCCTATGAAATATTCGCATCTACGACAGCTGCGCCTTCGTCTCGCACGGGGATACCAGAGTAACAACCCGTAGTTGGGGCTTTCACACCGTCCCGGCAATCCACCTATCCTCGCTACGATATCGACTTGAGGCTGCGTTCCTCGACCAATGCGGAGATCGATGCGAATTCATCCATGGTCCCTGCGTTGCAGACTCACTCGGTGTGCCGATCATCCAATAGCTCGTTAAACTTTGTCTATCCTGCCAGATTTTAGAGATAGCGAAAATGGACCCAGACACACGCACTTCCAATGCTACTACTTGTGCCACGGCCATTCTCCAAGTCTCAGAATCTTCGTTACAAGAGTTGCTCTTGCTATCCTCGAGTCCATTGATTCCCACCCGCTTGAGCGATCGTGCTTCGATACCCTGATACTAGATCCCAGAGCAAGCCGTGAATCATCCCTCGGTCTGAAGATCATCGCACACATGCTTAAAGCCTCGGCTCTAATGAATGCCCATCGGGCTCAGATCATTGCCTGCTATCCCTCCGGTACACCAGACAAGATCAAGATAGCCTCCAAAGCACCTTCGGCAGCGATGGAATCCCTAGTACTCTGATTGTAGATGAGCCTAGCTTCCCCGATATCTCTCAGATCTGGGGCTATGGTGGATAGTACTCAGACCGAGCCTGCAGTTGATCTCGTTCAGGGCAGCAGCGCTGAGCATCCAGGGTCGTAGAGTGCTCAGTGCATGTTTGTAGAATGCCGAACATAATCTTATGTATGTGCACACGAAAGTCCTCGAAATGGAATGCTGCAAAGGGCTTGACTGGACCGAAATAACAAGGAGTGGCACTGGCTCAGTCAGAAAGGCGAAAACATGCACAAATCGAGGACAATGGCCATCTCTCTACTACATAGGCCGTGACGAACGCCTCATGACCACTCTTCTTCTTCTTCCTTGCTTTCTTCGCGCTCAGAGTAGACGCGCCGACCTACTCGATCGCTGCGTTCGCACTTGAGACATACTTCGCTCTCTATTGTTCTTTGCGGCCTGATCGACGCACTGCCGTGCCACGTTCCGCCACAATCAGAACCTCCAACTGGCCCCAGATGCCCCCAAGGTTCATCATCGAGGACGCAGGGACGATCCGGGAGACACGCGACGACCCGAACTCACCCTCGCGTCCGCGGAAGCGCGCGCGAGTCGACTCAGTAGCTGACGGCGGAGGGTACGAGTACACGGGGACCGAGCGTCCTACCGAGCCTTGTGGCCCGGTGCACGACGATCCAGTCTACTTCTCGAACGATGCGGATGCGGAGTGTGTGGTGCGCGTTGGCAATACGCGGTTCAAGGTGTGTGTCGCCGATCTGGCACACAGCCAATGCTCACGGCATCTCTCAGGTCAAAGGCGATCTTCTAGCGGATGTCTCGATCTTGTTCAAGGATATGCTGCTCCGCCAGAGACGCTTGAAGAGACAACCGGACGGTTCGATGTACCCGTTGGTACTCGTTTCGATTACGCTGCCCGAAGAGTTCCGGGCACTGATGTGGGCTTTGAATGCCAGGTGCGACTTCTTTGTCTCATGACCACAACTTCCGAGTGCTGACTCACTCTTTATTGCAGTGAAAAAGAACTTTTAGCCCAACCTATCGAGCACGACGAAATCGACCGCCTGCTCTCCATCTCCTCCATATCGTACCAGTTCGATTGCCCGAAACTAAAGACATGGGCAAACGCCGCCCTTCTCCGCACTTTTTCCGCGGAGACTTCTCTCCTATCAAGCTGCTCGTCGGCGCTGCTCACCCGTGCTCTGGACGTCGCCATCCGCACCCGCCAAGACGACCTGATCGAAGCGACAATCACGCGCTGGTGCGAACGCCTGAAGACGGGCGACACACCCTGCGTGCCGGCCATCATCGCCGCGGACATCCACGAACTGCAGGGCCTGCGCGGGGTGGCCTACTACCAGCATGTGCAGAGCATGATCGCGCGGCAGACGACCGTGACGGGGCGCGGGGCGACGCAGTTCACGGCCGACGCGCGGCTGAGCAATGCGCAGGTGATGCGGCTTCTGTCGGGGCACTGGTCGCTTGTCAGTCTCTGGGAACGGACGAGGAAGAGCGCGGTCAATTTCGCTTGCGAGTGCAGCGGTGTGAAGAGTTTGTGTGCGGACCTCTGGGTGCAGCGGTGGAAATGCGCTGTGACGTCAGACAGGGTGAATGCGCTCAGCTCAGGCAGCATCTTGAGGTTGATCGCCTTGGTCGGGGATATCCTGGCGGCGGACCAGAGGTTGAAGGAAGAGATGTCTCCGGGGTGCCGGCGTAATGCGCTGGCAGCAGTCAAGACACGCGCAGAAGAGATCGAGGAAGGTATTGCTGACCACTTCTTTGGGTGGCTTTGAGCTTTCCCTTTGCCTGTACATGCTACTTATTTGCCATTTGCTTTGTACTTCTAGTCATCGGTGTACATGTATTATGATGTTAGACATGCATACAGCATCTGTAACTCACACGCGACTGCCTCACTCGCCGGCACGTCGATCTTTATCTCAATGTGCCCCGCACTGCTGTAGAGAGTGGAAACGAGCCCAGTGTGCATTGTACTCGACATTCATGGCTGTTCTCCGAGCAACGCGCCGAATCAGGCCAATATCCGGCCTTTGACTTTATTTTCATCTCATATACTTATGTCGTACGGTTCAGGGAGGCTAAAGCACGAAAGGGGTACCTTGTTCGCATATCGATTCCACTAGGGCTTCTAGTATCTGTCTGTGGCATATCTGCACCGTCGGGCACAGAGCCCCACTATTCCGCACGCGGCATTGGACCTACGCGACGGATTGACGAATACATCCCTCAAGCGGAATGTACCTCGAATCCAGAAGCGCCACCAAATCCAATGGAATGGTAAGAGGGGAGTCTGAACCTTACCTGGACACCATCATCACTCAATTGCAGTATGTTTTGCACGAAGCTGATGTACCCCTATGACTCGCCAATGATGTTGTAGGATGAAGATCATCTCGTTTACCGCAGAGGGATTATCAAAGTTTACTTGAAATCTTGTGCGTCGCTTCTTGCCATTTGTCAAATTTGATAGCAACAGCTGTCCTCCTCTGACATCGAGTGTGTATCTTCAGTCTAATTGTGTGTGTCAGAGCGCGCGAACCCGAACTTGGCCACCGTCAGGGGCACACTGTCGGAATTCTCCTCCAACACCTTGTTATCTATCAGCTCAGTCTCAGTCCAAGGAAACGAGCAGAATCATTGCAACTGAAAATACTAGGCACCATGCCAGAAAGTTCAAAGAGGTGTTCAATAACTACCGAGTGTCTTCGATACACCGAATCACTGGAAGAATTTTCCCTCATGGCCAGCCCAGATCATCCGCCACAGCGTAGGAAAGCGTGTATAGATACACAGATGCTCACAGCCGAAGCCATTGCGCACAGGGCGACATGCATACATGTGGTCATCCCATGCCCCTGATGACTAGTCTGACTGGAAAAAAGCCGCCCCGATGGCTGCAACGAAGCCGCGCAGGACTATCACGATCTCGAGAGAATTGAGAAAAAGTCAAGCTCAACACGCCGTTCAAGAGTGGTGCTCTACTGCTTTCTTCATCGACGCCATGGAGTACCTGATTATCCTTAGAGTATGCTGCAGGGGTAGTAAAAAAAGCTTGACAAGTAGACAAACAAATGAACACTTTACATCAGCGCGGACCGACCAGAATAAGACCAATTGTGAAGTTCTCAGATTAGATGGAGCAAAACGCGTTGCAGTGGACATGCCGAGTCACATGCCTATTGTAAACGACCCAGATCCCTGCATACATGAAACGGACCGCTTGATAGAGACCCCCGAGTCATATGTATTATCGAGACATTGAACGGCTTCTGCTTATCGCTCTGTCACGTGATCGTGTTTGGACGCAAGATCAATCGTGCTTTCGTAACATTTCCACGAGAAGGCAATCTTCGCGGGGCCCGCGCTTCGCCGCCAACCGGGCGCCCGTGCTTCTTACGCACCATCATCCAATGTGATTCCGAATTCGCTCAGCTATTGGAGGTTGCTATGGGCTAGAAGAGTATAGCCACCTTCGTCCATCGGATATAAGCAAGGGATTGCCATATGACGCAAGTCTTTCACCCCTCTCGAGCGCTTTCCTACAAAACGGATTCTCCTCCGCTCATTCTGCGGGCGCACACATGTCGGCCCCCGATGCGGATGGTCCCAGACCGGATATGGGCCCCTTCCTGTTCTCGTATGGGTGCGTGCCGCGGCCAGTTCCCCCAAACGTCTGAGCGTCGAGCCTGAGGGCGGCAGCACACAGCTCGCCGGCACGTGGGTGAACATGATGCTCTTCGCGTGCGAGCTCGTGCTGGCGACGCGCTACCTCCTGCGGCCGCACCGCCCGCGCGTGCACCGGCTCGGCATCGCGGTGATGCTCCTGGCCGACACGATCTGCACGCTCGCAGTCGATTCGATCGTGTTGACGACGGTGCTGTCGATTTTTGGCAAGCTTACGTTCAGATCGGACACGATACCGACCACGATTAGCATCCTCGCGACGTACATCACGGCGGCTATCGAGCAGTCGTTTCTGTGCCAGTTATACTACATTTTGTGCGTTGAGGATGACTTTGAGTTATTTCACTGTTTCTGATTCGCGCCCCAGGTCACGAAAGAAACTTGCCACCCTCCTCATCGTGTCTTGCAGCGCCTTGCACGTGAGCCCCCTCGTCACTCCTTATCCGTCTATCGCCGCCGCTTAAGCATTGCTTTCCAGCTCGCAATCTCATTCGCAGGTGGAATCATGCTTCAGATCTCCGGTGTTGGGGCATTCCCGTCAATCTTCCAAGTGACTGCGTGAGCATCTGTGTTCTTGAATCACGTGTCCTATGAGTTGACAACGCTCCAGCGTCGGTGCGATCACTTGCAGCGCAACGGACGTCCTCATTGCGGGCTGTGGGATATGAGCTGAACAAGATCAGGCTAATGACGAGCAAAGGTCCCGGGCACAGCGCGCGTCTTCTAGGGTACGTCCCGCTCGATTTTCTAGTGCTTATTGTATCCCTGATTCAGCAACGCAGCATCGTACGCAGGGTTCTCTTCCTGAGTCTGATATCGGGGGCGATCGTTGCTTCCACGACGCTCTTGATGATGATCCTTTTCATCAGGAGGAACGTCGGTGCGTCGCCTCGGACCCTTCGCGCGTTGTCTGCACGGTCCACGCGCTGACCCATCAACCGCAGTGTTCGACATGCTCTCTTTTGCCAAGGCCGGGTCTACGCGCTGAC